CACACACACTCACTGTGACAGAGAGGCGTGAGGGTATGGAAAAAAAAACGAAAAAAGAGCTGCGCAGTCCGGGAATCGAACCCGGGCCTCCCGCGTGGCAGGCGAGAATTCTACCACTAGACCAACTGCGCTTGGCGTTTGAAGGACGCCAGAGCCTTGCTCGCCGCCACGGCCCCCCAAGCGGAAACCGAAGAGATAGGCCCCCAAGCACGCCCTTGTTTCAAAAACCAGATGAATTCTTTCTTGGGCCACATAACAGGCATGGGATACAAACGCAAAGCTTCATAAAGGCGGAAACCAAGCTGCGTGCTCCCGTGAGTTGACGCCGCCCATTGGTTTGACGCGCCAGTGCGGAGCCTCCGGCAGCGCGACCCGGAGGCGGAGAAAAGGAGCAACGCGGTGTCGGTCTTCATTTTTGTGGCATGGGTTCCTGTTAGGGTCGATTTTGTTTTCTGTTCTCGTGGAAAAGCCAGCGAGCCGCTACAAGCACAATGGCGCGTCGGGGGGCCGGGATGGGTTAGAGGTCGGAAAGGCACCCATTCACACCAAATTTTCCGATGGCCAGGAATGAATTCTAGCGAGTAATTATGCGGTCTTTTCTAACTCATTTTTTCCATCCCTCTATTACGAGTAAGTGATCCAATTATATGTATTACTTTGCATAACGTTCGTAGTGATACATTAATTTAGGATATTTGGCGAGTGTTCCTGAGGTTTTGTGACGGAAAAACTTTAAAAAGAAAATATCTGGACTTGGAAACGTAGTTATTATTATTATTATCAATCCTTTCTGAGTGGTATTTTTTGGCTGATGTCAGCAGCGTTTTGATAATTTTATTGATGAATAGCCTTTATGCACCTTTTTTGCATATAATTATTGTGTGTAGATTGTTTCTTCGTTGAATAGAGAAATCATCTTTGTTTTTGTTTGTGTGTTTTTATTGCGTGAGAGGAAGAGCATCAAAAGCATGTAAACCTCCGAAGTTTGTGTCGTAGTAAGCATACAAGCAGAAGTGGCAGAAGTGATAGATTTTCTGTTGTTTTTTTTTAACATGTGTATGTGTTTTGTTTTTACTGGTTATGTGTATTTTCGATAGACAATTACAAGTGTTTTCCACGCACTACAAAAAGAAATGATTTGCTGTGGAAATTAAAAAAAGCTGTCGACATGTTTCAAGCCTTACTTCTACAATATATGTATTGTTTGCATGCCGATGGGGGGAGGGAGGGGGGTCTGTGCGTTGGCTAGGATAGAGAATACGCACTCGTCTGTAGTAAATGTATCCGAGTTGGCTTTTGAGTAAAAATAATGGTGATTCCGTGCTACACGTATTCCTAAAATTAAGCGAAGCTTATCCTCTTTGTTTATTCCTACTCATGGGATTCAGAACCAAGACTCTTTTCTCCAAATAAATTTTACTTGGATTAAAGGATAGTGCATCATTTTTAAATTCCCAAAAACACATTCTTTATCGTATTTTTCAACTTGTTTAGTTATACCTTTTTTTTTTTTTGTCAAGTCAGGCGTGGTCCCTGCTTCTTTGTTGTTCTCATCGTCACGCCAATCTCTCCTTTTTTGACGTTGTACAGTGTCATAAAAAATGTGTGGTGTGTGTTGTTGAAGGGAGTGGAGGCGCTAGTGAGAGCAGGTGATTTCCATTTAAATGCTGGGACACATTTCTGTTGTTACTGGCTAAGGTGAAAGAGTCCAAACTCAGGCGCTTCAGATTCTTTTACGAGTATTACGTCCTGGGAAAGCGGGCATCGCGACGCTCGTACTCGAGGCCTACAATGGTCGAGAGGGAAGAATTATTAAAGCGCTAGAAGGCACGTACGGTCCGGAGACATATGTTTTAGTGTTGAGCTCTACGGCTATGTCTGGGTACCGCACCGCAGCCATTGGCGGAGATAATGACGTCGTAAACATGGATGCAGCGGAGTATGATGACAATAACTCAGCAAATAGCATGTCAATTTTGCCACTCCATTTTAATATTACAAGAAACCGTCTCGAGTGTGTATATGCACGTCATGCACCAGAGCTCCTTCATAGTGTGGATCTAACTCTAGCATTCTACGAATGACGTGAACGCACATTTTTCCGTTTACTGCAAGCGACATACGTACCGGAGCCATATACTTTTGTTCCAATATGTTTCCTAGCAGGTGCCAAAGACGACACTCAAGAAGCGAGGGAGTATGCTGACGTACAGGTGGAGTGGAGAAACCTTCGTTCGTCGCCATCTCACGACGAACAGGCTGCTTTGCCGGAGGTTGGCTTTTCGTGTAATCAGGTGTGCATGAAACTTTCAAATTATGACCTCGGTTGGGAGTGCTATGCCGCGTCGGTACTAATTCCTACAACGCTAATTGGTGATTCCTTTTTTGACACTGACAAAAAAGTGACGAACTATATTTTCGTACCATCAATCGAAATGTGTCACAAGAGTTTTACCAACTGCTCTTGATCACTTAGTTTTTGAGCACATTGTGCCATACCACCGTATTTATCTAGCCTTTGTTTTATGAATGCAGCATCTAGATATGGCTGAGTCAACAGCGAGAGCAGCTGTTTGGAGACAACTTCAAAATACAGTCAATAATATGGCCTACAAATGCCTATTGTTACAGGAAGCAATACACCATTTGCCCGCGGTGGAGACGGAGCAACGTGATAAAATCGAGGGTGTCTTTTGAACACGAGGTACTGTGGACGTTTTTCAACCACCATAAATTGTACCATAGTGGAATGCTCATTAGTTAGCGACATGTATACCGCACGGCAGGCGATATATGCATAGAAAAGACAGCAGAGACAATACACATTTGGTAAATCCAGAGGAGAGGCATTGCATTGAGGAGCAGTAGTTGCGGAAACATGATACTGCATCACCTCTAAAATTGGAGACCTTGAAATATTGTAAAATCGCCAGAGGTGGCTAAGGGCAAAATTGTTCGACGCTTAACAAGCCCCATCAGAAATCCGTCTGGGGTCATACTCAGGCGAAGCCCCACATTATCTCCACGCAACAAGAGTGCTAACAGTGCTCAAGAAAAAGCGCGAAACACGACAACAGGTTACAGAAAGTGTATACGTAATGCAGTTGGTTTTTTTTTTTAAGAGAACCACAAACACTGTTCAAACACCTTTAAGAATTAATACTGTCCGAAATATAATCAAAAAAAAATCGTATCATCCTTTCCTGCGCAATATTTTCCTCTTATATTACTTTGGCATAGCCTCATTATTATTATTATTTCCCGAAGCCTACTAAAAAAAAAAAATGCTAACATCTTTCTCTTCTAACTAATAAAGTGTCTGGTTGAACCAGCCAGCCTCTTTACCTATCATTTGGTATGTTTCCAATCATTCAATGTTGCAACACAGCAAGCGCAACTTTTTTCTGAGGCTTTCCATGCTTGTTTCTTAGAAGTTGTGGGCCCCTACCCAACCACCATCGCGCGGGTTTGTAACGGGTCCGGTTATGATACACGTGGTTTTTGAATTCATTTGTTTACTTTGTGTGTGCGTCGTAGAACTCTTTGCTTAATCGGGGTGTGAGATGCGTTCTGGCACAAAACGTTATCACCGATTATTATGTTTGCTTCCATTTTCTGTAACAAAGAAGTAATTGGTCTCATACAACCTATTATCCAACCCTCAAAACAAAGACAACGGAAAATACACTGGAAAAATCTATCATTTCCTTCTTTTAACCCAATTAAACCCACAGCATATGCACGACGCCACAACCAGTACTAATATTGCAGAAAGACAGATAACGCATAACAACCAAAAAAATTTCACTTACACCAACAAAAAAAAAAGTAGGCGAAGAACGCAATTTTAACATTTGTACAAACCAATGACAACAGATCCATTTGGTGGGGAATGAATATTTTGCCTGCGTCCCAGAGGCTGTCGTTGCGTTGCTTTTGCCGCATTGTTGCGCGAGCTGCTGTGCGGCGTCGCTCACTTTTTCTTGTTTTGCTCCTCTTCCCCTCTCTGCCGCCCGTATAGCTTTAGTGGTTCGCCAAGGGGGTGCGAACGGCGCCGAGGCTGACGTGTTATTTCGTATCCATTGAAAGAGGGCAAAATGACGGTGGGAGGGACGTGGCGCTGGGCCCGCTCCGCGGCGGTGTGGCTGGTGGCGCTGCTGCTGCTGCTGCTGCACGTCGGAGGCGGCGACGCCGCGGTGACGCTTCGCCTCGTGCAGGTGGTGCACCGCCACGGGTCGCGGTCGGCCATCGTGAAGTACAACACAACGCAAATATGCGGCGACATCCCGTGCGGGTACCTCAACGCTGCCGGGCGGACCATGCTCCTGAAGGCAGGAGAGTTCCTGCGTGAACACTACAACAGCAACACCGCGAAGCCCTTTTTCTCCTCAGAGAACTACGACCCCAGCGTGTCCTACAGCCGCTCCACCGACGTGCCGCGTACACTTCAGAGCGCCGCGGCCTTCTTGTACGGTCTCTTCCCCAACAGGAGC